CCCCCCCCGCCGCCGCCGCCCCGCCGGGGGGGGCGCAGCCCCGCACCCCCCGCGCTCCCGCCATGCCGGAGAAGCGGCCGTTCGAGCGGCTGCCCGCCGACGTGTCCCCCCTCAACTATGGGCTCTGCCTCAAGCCGGACCTCATCGACTTCACCTTCGAGGGCAAGCTGGAGGCCGCCGTGCAGGTAGGGCCCCCCCTTCTTCCTCCTCATCCTCCCCTTCCTCATCCTCCTCCTCCCGCCCCGCCCCCGAGGGGTCCCGCCGGCCCGCGCCCCCCGAGGGGACCCCTCGTGCCCCGGGGGGCCCCTCGATCCCCTCCTCACCCCCCGGGTGCTCCCTCCGGGCCCCGCTCCGGGCCGCTCGCCCCCTGCCCGGCCGTGCCCTGAGGGACCCCGCGCCGCGCTCCCCTCAGGGCCCGGCCGGGCAGGTGCAGGAGGCCCCTCGGGGCTCCCCCGCCTCTGCTCCGTGTTTCCGTTCACGATGGACGGACGAACCCGCTGCAAAGCCCCCCAGAGCCCTCCGGGACCCCCTAAACCCGGCGAGGCTCGGGGGCAGCCCCGCCCAGCCCCGCTGCGGCCCCCGCGGGTCCCCCCGGGCGGCTCCAGCCGGGGCCGGGCCGGGATGCGGGATCAGCCCGGGATGTGCCCGGCCGGGATCCCCGGTGCCCCCAGCCCCTCGGGGACCCCCGAGCCGCGCTCCGAGCGGGCCTGCGGGTGGACGGCGATTTTGCTGGAAAAGCCAAATAAGCCGTGAAAGGAGAAGTCCCCCCGGGGTGGCTCTCGGGGAGGGTAGGCCCCGGTGTCACGGAGAGCCTGGGGACCAGAGCCGGGGAAAAGGCTTGCGGAGCCGAAACGCTGCGGTTTTTTCTGCAAGGAGAGAAGAATCCTCCTCGCCGTGCTCGTGCTTCAGAGCCGGAACCAGTCCTGTGAAATCCTTCAAGTCTCTCCCAGTCATTCTCATTGGCTGCTCTGCCAAGATTTCCCGAATTTGCTTTCACGTCTTTTTTTTTTATTATTATTTATTTATTTATTTAATTAATTAATTTTTTTAGATTTTTCCTTGCGATTTGAGATTGGTATAGAATTATAAAGGGATAACTGCTTTGGGGCTTTTTTTTTTTTTTTTCTTTCTCCCCTGAAAATTAGATGGTCGCACGGAGAGCTTAAAGAAATATTTGAGGGAGGTTTTAAGTCTTGAGATGTGAGCAGATCTAAGCCTTGCTGTGCTGAAGGGGTGGTTAAACCTGGTTTTAACCAGGTAATAAATGCAAGGAGGCAGTAAAACCTGCAGGATCTGAAGCACAGGTAGAGAAGAAGGCGAGTTCTTTCCTGGGGAAGGCCCAAGGCTGGGGATGATGGGGAATCTTGTGACTTTGGGGACCTGCAGGAACCCAGGCAGACATGAGTAACTTTGTGTCATGTGACAGAAATATTGAAAACCTAAATCTGATCCTGGCTCAGGGGTTTGGTTCCAACCTCAGGGGCCTCTGCTGCCTTTTGGGGTGTTTCAGTTTAAAAAAGGCCGCTTTGAGAAATTCCCATTTTCTTCCCCTTTAATCCCGGCCACCTATTCCTGTCCTCACACCCCGGCCCTGTTACAGCTGTGGGGCTGTAAATGGGATCACTGAAATCATCCAGGTTAAAAATAACACTCGGGGGGAGGGGAGCAGTGGCTTTTTAAGTGGCTTTTTAAGCCACTGCTGAGGAGAGGAGCGGAGAGCAGCAGCCCTGGGAACGTGGCTGGGATGCAGGAATTGCCCGGAGGTGCCTCCTGGCAGGGCTGGCCGGTTTGCAGGTTTTATTCCTGGAGAGGAGTTTGAATATCCTGCTGTGTCCAGGTGGGTTGCTGGAGCAGAGGATTCCAGCTGGAGATGTGGAATCCCGCACTTCCCCAGCAGCGCCCAGGGCGTGTGCTGAGCGAGCAGCAGTGACCCCGCAGGTCCCAGGCTGTGAAATTTTCCTTTCCGCATCCTGGAGAGCTGCTCTGGTGTTCCCACAGGAGAGAGGAGGGGGAAAAACACCAAGGAACCCCAGAGGGCGAGGTTTTTGAAACAGATCTAAAGAATGTATCTTTATTTTGGATAACTTTTAACACCGTGAGGCCGGGAGGAGCCGCCTCCCGGCTGCCTGGAAGCGGGCAGGGAGGTGGATCAGGGGGGAGCTCACCTGCCCCGGCAGGGCTGTGGGTCTGGAGAGGTTTCCTGAGCTGCCAAGCACAGGGAAATCCCAGGAAATTAGAGGGGAACTGCTCTGCACCTTGATGGGCAGAGGAACAACCAGCTCGCCCGCAGGATGCTCTCTGTTCAGGGCTTGATGTACAAAAATTGATAACTATCAGCATATTTTTGGTCAGCTGGTCTAAAAAATAAGGCTTTTGGGGTCAAATTGCTTCAGTGAAGGACCTTTTCTACCTGAACCTGAGCTCAGCAGGGATGTTCTGTTTCCAGCACCCTCTGAGAGCTTTGGAGTTGCTGTAAACTCATTGAGGCAAAAGTGGGTTTGTGTTAAAACACAAAATTTTTGATTTTTGGGTGGGGGAAATACACGTGCTGCCTCCTCTTGAAGATGCAGTTTCTTGAATCGCAATCAGTAATAATTGCCAGCTCCTCTGCTCCATCCCAGCTGGATAATGGCAATAATCCACACCAGTGATGCTTCCCGAGCCACAGGGTGACTTCTGAGGCTCTGACACCAAAAATAAAAACCCCAAAAAACCTGGAAAAAAGTTTCCAGAGCCTCCAAAGTGCTTTGTTTGCTTTGTTATTTGGCATCTTTAAGAGCAGGGTGGAATTAGTGCAGGCTGTGGTGTTTAGTCAAGGTATTACAAGTAAACACTTGATCATTCTTACTCACTCCAGTAATAGGATTTGCAGCCCTCTGTGAGAATTTGGGGCTTTCAAACCCTAAAAAAAAAAATGTCCCAGCCTTGGCTTTGGGGCAGGACACTTGTGTTGGCTTTAGGACCTATAAATAACCTGCAGCACTTTGTGCCACAATAATAAATGTTGCCACTTGCATGGCAACTCCAGATAATCTTCAGGGGATAAAACCTCTGGTGATGCAGAAGATAAGAGGTGGCAGCAGATTCCAAAGCCTGGGAAGAGGAGTGGGGACCTGTTTGTGGTTTGTTCCCGTGCTCAGCTCAGGGAATTGTCCCTCCTGGATAAAGGAATGAGCCTGAAACCTTGACAAGTTGGATTTCACAGCCCTTTTTGGAGCTGTGCTTCTGGAGGCTCTGGTAACCCAGCTATTGCAATTTTGACCGGTTATTCCAGATTTTTAAATAATATAATTTGTGGCCACATGAATACTTTTGAAGTCCGTGCAGTTGTGTAACAATTACATAAACTGACAGTACATAATTCCCATTTATCACAGCTGAAAACCCCAAAAAATCCTTAAATGAACTGTTTCACAAGGAAGCCTGGTCCCAGCTGGGACAGAGTGTGGCTGTGGGAGAGCCAGGGCTGGAACAGAGTCTCCTGCTCACACTCCTGTGATTGTTCTGCCACTTATGTCATCTCCCAGCATTTAAACTTGATTTGTGGAGGGCGTGGGGATGCCTCTCCACGAGCACAATTAAGATTGTGGGGTGGAAATGGTTCATTTTCATTATTCCTCTGTTAGTTGGAGCTTTAATTACGCCAGCCTTGGCTCTCAGGGCCTGGTTATCAGCACAGGGCACTTGCATTACTCAGTGTCTGGGTCAAACTTGACTTTTTCCTTTTTTTTTCCCACTTTCTTGGCTCTTGGGAGGGTTGGAACAAAGGAGGGATGTGTGGCCCTGGTGTTGTCCAGCAGCAGAAACAAAGCTGCCTCCAGCTTTTGAGCTTTTGAATTGGATTTTTTAATGCTGCAAGGATCACCTGCGAGGGGCAGGGCTGCCTCCCCACTTCCTGCTGTTTCCCTGCCCATGAATTCCCTTCCTTACAGCTGATTCACTCCCCTCCCTGCAAACTCCACCGGGGTGCTCCTTGATTGTGGAACAACTTATCTGGGCAGAATTTACAGCCCAGCCTCTCAAATCCCTGCCGCTGCAGCATTTAATGCATCTCTGGCAGATTTAGCAATATTTAACTGCTTGTCTGCTGCTTTTTATAGGTTCGTTATGCAACCTGTGCTGGCCTGAGGAATGTATAGAGCTGGTCAAAGATTAATGGTGACACTCTGGGGTGGGATCCTGGGGAAATGGAGCTGGCTGGGTGTAGTATTTGTGCTCCTGGGGAGTGGGGAACTGGTCCAGGATAAATCCTCTGCGCTCCAACCTTGGAATTTGCATTTCCAGCTCATTCAATTAAACCTGGAGTGGAGGGTTAAAGGGCCTGGCAGCACCTCAGGGCTCTCCTCGTCTCATCAGCTCAAAAAATTGAGTTTTTTTACCCTTGTCCCCCCAAAAAAGCTCCTTGAGCCCCATAATTCCCCAGACTGGGGTGGATTTGCAGCGATCACCAAAGGGATTTGCTCACCCCTGTGAATCCGACACCTCTGGAGCTGGGTGTGCTTTGGAACCAAGGGAACTTTTCCAGTGGGCCAATTAGTCCTGGCCTTGTTAATTTTACTCCTTGGCCGCCGGAATTTGCTGGAGATGCAGGTTAATAAATCTCTTTGTTGCTCTCCTCATTGAAGGTTTGAATTCTTACAGAAGACAAGCCCTGGAACACAAATCCAGAGCAAATTTAGGTGTCTATTTTTAGAGAGAAAATAGCTAAAAACACACACAGTTGTTGTAGTGCTGCTTTTAGAAAAGGGCTCTGGAGCCGTGTGACAAGATTGGAATTATCTGGAATTAATTTTGGCTCCAGGAGATCCCTTTGGATGCACCTCAGCCTGTATTTCAGGTAGGCTGGAGCTCAAATCCCTGTTCCTGATATCCTAAAACATTGGAAAAATATTTTCCATTAAATCCTTTCCTGCTTTGACCACCAAAAGCTTTACAGCACCCTTAGGTTTTCTTTGGTGGAGATAAAAAATCAACATTTTTAACTCTTCTTCCATCAAACATTAAACTTTTTTTAGAGGGGATTTCAGCTGTTTTCTCCTGCTGGGTGAATTTTCCCTTCCCTGCTCGTGGTGCCTGAGTCTGACCTCAAAATAGTGTTTGAATTCTGGTTAATTCAGTCTTCAACTTAATTCATCAAAAGCCAGGAGTTTGCAATCCTGAACCATTCCTTCCCTCCAGATATTCCTCTTGGCCCACCTGGTTTCTGAGCTGTGCAGAACTGCTCTTCTCTCCATTATTTCAATTTAATTAATTAATTTTCTTGCTGAAAAGTCTATTTCTGATTTATTTCTGATTTATTTCTGATGTTCCAGAGCAAGGTGAAGCAGGGTGACAACCCCACACGTTGCTGACTGCTTCTACCTCATGCAGAAATCTGCTTTTTTTGGCCTTTAATACATAAAAATCACTGAATGAACAGAATCTCTTCCTTCCAGAACGTGGCATTTTGGAGGGATAAAAGTTCATTTTTAAATAAATTCGTTTTTGAGCTGTTCCTGGCCATCAGTGCCCCGTGCTGGGACAGGTTCTGCTCCTGTTCTGTTTTTGTTCTCACAGGTGTGGCTGCACCTCTGAGCAGGGAGGAGGCTCCTGCTGGAGCCTGGCTGGCAGCAGGAAAAATTCATTTTCCCCTCAGAATTCAATTCTCAGAAGGTGCTGAGCTCTGCAGGCAGAATTTCTGCCTGTACACTGAATTTCACCCTTTTTTTTGGGGTAGGGGGATAGCTTAAAAAATGAGCTTTTTTACCCTCCTGGCTCATTTTAGATATTTTCTACTATGCTGCTCTCTCGTAAAACTGGTTTGATATTGGTAGGAAGTGAGGAAAAAATACCCAAAAATAGATAAATGCCTGTTTAAGGAGCCTCTGGATTTTCTCTGCTTAAACCTAAACTTTCTTATTTTGCAGGCTCAGTGCTCCACTGAAAGTTGTGTCCTGGAAAAAGTTGTTTTTTAAAGATCAAGCCCATTGTTAAACTCACATTGTCTGCAATTTGGACAGCTCCGAATCCAGAGAGATTTGGGTTTATAGATTGAATAAAGGTCTCCAGACACTTATAAAAAGCTTTTCTCATCCTGATTTTTCTGTGCTTTAGAAAAACCTTGAGAAACCCCCCAAGCTCCAGTATTGTGGTAAAAACTGTTGAGCCTTGATTTCTGGGTTTGGGGGAAGCTTTGTAATTTTTCAGTTTTATGCACTCAGAATTAAAAAAAAAAAAAAATGTGGATTTCAGGTTGTAAATCTTTCCTGGAAAAGTCAAATCTACCCTGTGTCACCTCAGCTGTTAGACTTGCTCTCAGTGCTCTGCAAAAACTCTCTTTTCACAGTCAGGTTGGGTTTATTAATTAAAATTAATTTGATTTGAATTCCATCAAGAGGTGAAAGCAGCCGTGCTGCACCTCTCGGTGTGACACCACCGCAGGGAGCAGGAGCGGGGAGGAGGCACCCAAAAAGTGCAAAACATAACATTTCTTTGCATAATATTTATTAATTAAACAATTCCAGGGACGTTTGTCAGGTCAGAGGGGTCGGGGTGGGTGGGGCTGGTCCTCCCTGCATCCCACACCTGTGGAATCACAAATTTGAGTTCCTGGGTCCTCCCTTCTCCATGAGATGACTCGAATTTGGGTTTTCTGTCCCAGGTGACCATTCCTGGCTCATTCCCAGCTCCTCCCCTCACTCAGGTCCCAGGCCCTGGTGGCACAGGCAGGACTGGGGGACACCTGAGCCTTTTCTTGTGGCTTTACAAACAAAACAAAATCATCATTTGTGTGCTGCCTGTGAGGTGAGCCGGCCTGAGCACGCACAGGGTGTGGAATCGTGGAATTGGGGCTGGAAGGGACCTGAAATGCCATCCAGTGCCACCCTGCCATGGGCAGGGCACCCCTTCAGTGGGCCGTTCCAGGGATCCAGGGCAGCCACAGCTTCCCTGGGAACCCCATCCCAGGGAAGGATTCCTTCTTAATGTCCCACCCCACCCTGTCCTCTGGCAGTTTAAACCCACTCCCCCTTTTCCTGGCACTCTTGGAAATTCATTCCATTTTCCTTCCTGCCTCCTTTCAGGGAGCCTGAACCCAGGTCACCCCTACACCTGCTCTTCTCCAGGCTGAACAATCCCACCTTTCCCTCTTTTTTCCCAGCTTTTCCTCCCAGCAGAGCTGCTCCCTCCCTCTGATCCCCTCCTCTGCACTCTCCTTGTCCAGACCCCAGGCTGGAGGCAGCTCCAGCGCGTTCCTGCTGCCCAGTTCAGACGTGGATACCTGCAATGATGGGTGCAGGTGTTCCCAGGGCATTTTGAGGTTATAATAATGAGGGAAAACAAAAAAGGGATGGAGTTTCTTAGGCTTTAATGAGCTGATCCTGGGGTAGGAAGCAGTTTCTTTATGCCTGTGTTAAATCTGGTTGGTTGTTACAGGAATTTTTACTCCTTTATTTAAGAAACTGCTGGTGCCTCCTGCTAGAAATCCTACCCTGGACAAGCTGGATTCCCAGCTTGATCCAGCCTGATCATTCTGGTGGTTCCAGCCATAAATGTCTGAATAACTCCCTGGTTTAACTCCCAAATATTTTACCCCTTTGTAATTAATTTTTATTTAATTTGAATTCCTCTGTATTCAGGCTCTCGCGTTCAAGCAGAGAACTGGCACAGCCCCACGGTTTATTCCTACGCTGGGAGCTGGCACTTGGTAAATAAAGCAAAGTGTGAGGAGCCAAGAGCTGGCAGAAGGGAAGCTCCCAGGAAAGGGGAAGGAGAATCTCCTGGCAGATGTTTTTCAGTGAGGAGTTCTGACAGCCTGGAGCACGCACAGAGGTTGTGTTGGTGCTATCTCCAAAGGAGATTTTCACTCTGCTCTCCCTTAGGCCGTGCCCAAAGGAGGCTGATGGGCTCAGGATCTGTTTTTATTGGGTTTGGAGTCCCAGGCCTGCACAAGGGCCCCATTGTGAAGTTTTCAGCCCTGTTTTTTACCCAGCATTAAACAATTCCCAGTGGAGATGAGCGGCTGAGCACAGCTCGTGCTCTGCAGTACCTCCTTCTCCTTCCCCATCCCAAACACCCAACTCTCCTTCAAACAGCTGCAGGTGCTTTTTACATGGATGAGAGCTGAGAATTCCCATTTCTTCCTGGCGCTGATGGCGTTTCTGTTGCAGGTGAAAAATGCAACCAACCAAATCGTGATGAACTGCGCCGACATCGACATCATCACTGCGTCCTACGCCCCGGAAGGAGACGAAGGTAGGAGCCCTGCTTGGTTTCGTTTCTGCCTCTGCAGCTGCTGCCAGCAGCCCAGCAGCTCTGATAACAAACTGGGTGCATGGTTTGATCAGCCCAGCCTCGCCCCTGGAAGCACAGAATTCCTTGTCTTGGCTCCCTGCTGGCCATCATGGCTGCCACTGGTGTAATGGTAAAGAATTCCTTCAGCTGGGTTATGGTGAAGAATTCCTTAATTTGTGTTATGGTAAGAATTCCTTCAGTTGGGTTATGGTGAAGAGTTCCTTCAGCTGGGTTATGGTAAAAAATTCCTTCATTTGTGTTACGGTGAAGAATTCCTTCAGCTGGGTTATGGTAAAGAATTCCTTCAGTTTTGCTGTGGTGAAGAAACTCTTTCATTTGTGTTTTGGTAAAAAATTCCTTCATTTGTGTTACGGTGAAGAATTCCTTCATTTGTGTTATGGTAAGAATTCCTTCAGCTGTGTTACAGGAAAGGAATTCCTTGTAAAGAATGCCTTCAATCTCCTCCACCTCTCCTGAGGTGTGTAGGCAGAGGATGCTGGGCTGCTTTGATATTATTTTTATATCCTGATATCATGTAAATTTCTGAGAACTTCTGTACCTATGGATTTGGGAATATTGACAAAATCCCTGACAGGGAATGCATCAATAACAGCCTGCAGAAGGAAATAGTCCCAGGAAAGGATTTGGAAAGCACAGAAAACACTTAATTGGCATTTAGCAGGATTTTCTGAGTGTTGGACAGCATGGAAAAATGTGATTGTGAGGAGGAGACCAGGGTGGGATCCAGCTCAGGGAAAGGCTGGGAGCTCCTGGAGAAGTTTGTGACCCTCAGCTGCAGCCACTGACTTCCCCAGGTCTGTCTGGGGGATTTGCAAACACCAAAGGCCTTTAGCAGCTGAGGTGTGACGTGCAGGAGCTGTGGAGAGCCAGGGTCTCACCGTGGGCACGGCCTTGGTGGCTCTCAGGGAGCTCTGCCCTTCACCTGCTCCTGGAAGCCTGCAGAGAGCAGGAACAGCCGCAGGGCGCCCGTTCCACCAGGGAATGCCCCTTTCCATGAGGAAAATACCACAGAACACTTGCTTAGAGGCGTGCTTAGGGATTAATGGGATGGGGGGAAGGTGTTCTTTGGGCAGATTTAAACTTGGTTATTTGTGCAGCAGCTGGACAGAGGGGAGGAGAGGGCTGGATAAAGGTGAGGAGAGGGCTGGACACAGGTGAGGAAAGGGCTGGATAAAGGTGAGGAGAGGGCTGGATAAAGGGGAGGAAAGGGCTGGACAGAGGTGAGGAAAGGGCTGGATAGAGGGGAGGAAAGGGCTGGACAGAGGGGAGGAAAGGGCTGGATAGAGGGGAGGAAAGGGCTGGATAGAGGGGAGGAAAGGGCTGGACACAGGTGAGAAGAGGGCTGGATAAAGGGAAGGAAAGTGTTTGGAGACCTGAAGAAGAAGAGGGATGTGAATTTCTGCAGTGGGTTTGTGGGGCTGGTTCCAGCTCTGTTAGCCCATGGATTTGCACAGGGAAGAGCCAGGGCTGGCAGCACCCAGGGACAGGGGAGTGTCCCTGCCCTGGCAGGGGTGGCACTGGGTGGGATCTGAGGTCCCTTCCCACCCAGACCATTCCGTGATGCCGCTTTCCAGTCCTCGTAGCATTGCTCCGCTTTTACAGGTGGAGAAATGGGCTCAGGAGGGGATTTGGGGAAGAAATCCCTCGCAGTGAGGGTGCCAGGCCCTGGCACAGTGCCCAGAGCAGCTGTGGCTGCCCTGGGTCCCCGGCAGTGCCCGGGACAGGGCTCGGAGTGTCCCTGGAGGGCAGGGGTGCCACTGGAGGGGATTCGAGGCCCCCCCACCCAAAAGGCTCTGGAATCCCGGGATCCCGAGCAGAACGTCCCCACCCAGCTTTGCATTTGAGCAGGTTTGATTTCTTTTTCGGTTCTGAAGGATGCTTTGGGCGTGAGGAAGCTGCTCGGGGAGGAGGGCGTGTGTGGGAAAGCAGAGCTCAGCTCAGGAAGGGCCCAGGAGGATCCTGGAACCCACCGGGGATGGGGAATGTCCCCAAGTGCTCGGGGCTGTCCCCTGGCACCCCGGCTGTCCCTGCCCCTGCCTGGTGGTGGGTTATTAATTATTAATTAGGAGAAATACCTTCTGAGGGGTTATTGCTCCTCCTGAGTAACGAGGAGATAACGAGTGGTGGTGAGAGCAGAGCGACAGGAATTCCAGAGTTTGTCACTGAGAAAATGGAAATAAAGGGGAAAAGCACCCAGGAATTCCAGAATTTGTCATGGAAAGTTAAAATTAATATTAAAATGAATAAAAGGGAAAGGATAAAATGAAAATACTGAAGTTAATAAGATTAGAATGAATAAAATGAAAATTAAAACATGAAAATAGAACAGAAAGAATGAAATTAAAAGAATAAAATCAATCAAATTAAAATTATGATAATAAACAGAATTCAAATTTATAATTAAAATTACTATTAAAATAGCTTAAAATTTGAAAGTATTTAGAAATTTTAAAATAAATTTAAAAAAATATATAAAAACACTGAATTCCCATGGTCACACCCAGGCTCCACGGGGTTAAAACCAGATCTGAGGGATTTGGGAACGTGCCAAGGAGCAGAATGGCTTTGGAAGGAGAATTGCACGGAATTGGCACCTGTTGATACCCTGTGCTTGGGGATGGGAGCTGTGGAACTGCTCCCCAAAAATGAGCCCTGCAGACATCAGCTCCTGGGAGTTCACCCCTGGAGCTGTGGAGGAGTTGATGGTGCTTGTAAAGAATTGTCACCCTGCCTTCTCTGGGCAGGAGTTTGTCTCACCCTCGCTAAAAATAACAAATAATTGGGAATTGATCTCCTTTCCCAGCCTGAAAAGCAGCGCTGGCACAGAGATTTCATCTAGCAGACCCCAGTTCCTTGTTTAAGGAGCTGGTCTGGTGACTTCTGTGCAGAATAATTTGGTTTTTTGCCCAGTCCCTGTCAGCGCCCCTGCCCTGCAGGTTGTGGCTGCAGCTCCGTGCCCCGATGGGCACAGCACAGGGCAGGACTTTGGAATTGTAATGCAGGTCTGCAGGGAAATCAGATTATTGCCCAACGTTGGACAGGAAGCTGAGGGAGGAATTTTTGCTGAGTAACAACAGAGCAGCAAGAACTGAGCAACAAAAGCAGCAGAGTGAGCACTGGGGAGCAGAAATTCCTCAGTTTCATCCCAAAACTCAGCTTGGTCTGTGCCAGCAATGCTGTAATGGAACAAAGCTGCTAAAGCACCAGAGCTTTCCATGGCTGCATTCAAACTGCCTGGGCAGTTTTATATTTTGTTTTCTCCTCAGAGCTGGTTTGCTTTTTTGGTGTTTTTTGGGTTTGTTTGGTTTTTTTTTTTTTTTGGTTTTTTTTTTTTGGGGGGTTTTTTTTGTTTGTTTTGTTTTGTTTTTTGGTTTTTTTTTAACGTTTCCAGTGGAATTTTATCACCGAGGTGTGCACGTGTCCTGATGGATGCCTTGGCTCAGGAAGAGCAAGGATGAGCTGGAGTTTCAGAAAAATGTCAGTTTTTGGAAGGGGCTGAGTTTCATCCTGGGGATGTGAAGGAGTTTGGAGCTTCCTGTGAATCCTCTCTCAGCTGTGGAATTGGGGAGTTTGCTTGGAATCCCCTCAGATCCTGGGGGTCCAGAGGAGTTCCTGAGCTCCAGGGGTTCCCTGGGGATGCAGCAGCTCTGGGGGTGTTTGTGCAGGGAGGATTGGGCTGTGCCCAGACCTGAGGAGGTTTTTGAGGACTGAATTCGTTATTTTGGTCTTTTCCTTCTCCGTGTGATGGGGATGGGCCTGGATGTTACACCAGAGATTTGGGTGCTGGTTAAAAAAAGAAACAAATAAAAAAAACCCCAAAAAACCCAAAACCCAAACAAACCAACCAAAACAATTAAACCCAAACCTTAATTACCCTGTGACTTCTCCACACCACGGAAGGGCTCCTTGAAAAATTTCCGTCTTGGAAAAAATTCCATTTTGAGAAAAATTCCGTTTTGAGAAAAATTCCATTTTGAAAAAAATTCCATTTTGAGAAAAATTCCATTTTGAGAAAAATATTCCATTTTGAGAAAAGTTCCATTCTGAAAAAAATTCCATCTTAAAAAAAAAAAATATCCATTTTTAAAAAAAAACTCCGTCTTGAAAAAAATTCCGTTTTGAGAAAAATTCCATTTTGAAAAAAATTCCATTTTGAGAAAAATTCCATTTTGAGAAAAATTCCATTTTGAGAAAAATTCCATTTTGAGAAAAATTCCATTTTGAAAAAGCGCGGTTTGCTCTGGCCTTGCGGGGTCCGGGCTCTCCGGGGTGCAGCAGGTTTGGGATCGTCCATGGCTGGATCCCTCTGCAGGAAATGGGATTTATTCCAAATTCTCCCACAATTCCATTTTGAGAAAAAATCCATTTTGAGAAAAATTCCATTTTGAAAAACCCCGCTTTGCAAAAAGGCGCGGTTTGCTCTGGCCTTGCGGGGTCCGGGCTCTCCGGGGTGCAGCAGGTTTGGGATCGTCCATGGCTGGATCCCTCTGCAGGAAATGGGATTTATTCCAAATTCTCCCACTCCAGCACCTCAAACCTGCAGCAGTCCCTCTCCATTTCGTGTATTTTTCTGATTTAAGTGGGAATCTTACTCCTAGGCGCTTCCTCCCTTGATTTTCATTTTCTCCCATCTTATTTTCTTTTTCTCCATGACAAAAATTTTTAAAAATCCCTTTTTTTTTCCTCCATCTCCAGCAGCTTTTTCCTTCCCCAGCCCGGGCTGTGCTGCAATGTGCAAGTGATTAACTTGCAACCTTGCAGTGCCAAATGCAGAGCTGGGCTCCTCTCTCCAGGAGCTTTTGTGTTCCGGAGCCTCTGCTGCGCTCAGCCCCGCCAGGAGCAGCTCCCCTGACTCCAGCAGAAAGTATTGTCCAGTGTTTCCCGTGGTTTGTTGCTCTGGATTAAATTATTGGCATTGAATAAGGAGTTTAAACAAATAACCTTCAAAAACAAAGGCAAAAAAACGAACAAACAAAAAAACCCCAAAACATATCACAAAAAAAAAAAAAAAAAAAAAACCAACCAAAAAAAACCCCAACCCAAAAAGACTCCCCCAAAAAAAGGAAACAAATAAACAAAAAAAAAAAGAGTGAAAATGTAATTTGGAATCTTTGGTTCTTGCCCTGTTCTTTTGGGGTGTGATTTGTAAGGAGCTGCTTGGAGATTCAGAAAACCCTGGAGCTTTCAGTGTTTCTTCTTCCAGCCTTGGTGATGTTCACCTCTTTTTTTTTTTTTTTTTTTGGGACAAGTTAAAACTTCCAAAGCAGCAGAAATTCCACAAATTCAAACCCAAACAGAGAGCCTCCAATTGAGAGAGGAGGAGGAAAGCTGACATCCATTGTCAGCCTTTGGCAGAAGCTCCACACGTTCCTGTGTACTCCTGAATCCCAGGAGGCTGCAGGATCAGATCCTTGCCTTTAGAAGCTGTAAAAAAAATATATATATATATATATAATTTTTATCTTGTAGCTTTGCCGTGGTGGTGTTTAAAAACCCCCCAAAGTCCGGGTGGGGAGCGTTGCTGCCCCCCTGGGCTGGTCAGGGACTCTGAGCACGGTCCAGCAGCAGGATTCCTCAGCTGATCAGTGGCTATTGATTGATTTATTGATGAATCAGTACATTCCCAGCAGGTGTCCTGCCCCTCTCATTGCTCTGATGGAGTCTGGAAATAACCAGGACCAAAATCAGCAGCCAGCTCCTCTCTGCAGGACCCCAACCCAGCAGGATTGTTCTCCTCCAGATCTTCCTCTCCTGGCTCATTTTCTGCCTCGGTATCCCCAGTTTTAAGAAGAAAACTCAAACTTTCATTTTTGATTTTTGATATTTGCTGGCAGCTGGGTGTCCTCGGATGGATTCTTCTTCAGTGCTCAACTCAGCTGATTTGTAAAATCTTGGAAATCCTCAGCACGGATCAGAAGAGCCTAAAATTGAGCCTGCAATTGATCCTATAGAGGTTTTTTTTTAATATAATTATTCCTGCGCTGTGTTTTGCTGTGTTGGAGCCTTTCAGTGCTCTGCACCCCAGCACTGTGGTTAACCCAGACTGAACCCTGAGCAGAGCTCTGTGAAACCTGTACTTAAACCTAATTCCTTCCTGCAGCTGCTGCGCTGAGCAGAGCTCGGAGTTAGCTCGGTTCAAGGCTGGGATCACACAGCTCCAGAACAAACAGCTCTGCAAATTCCAGCACAGCAGCAAAGCCAGCTTCCCTTTCCCTCGGCAGCCTGGAGCATCCTGCAGGGGCTGAAACCCAACGCCACGAGTGACACCCGAGCAGGAAAACGAGTCCTTTTGTGACCAAAGCTGTCGTTTCAGCCTGCCTCTGTCCTTCAAGGCCTTGTTAAATGGCAGGGTTTTGTTTTGGGGTGAGGAGTGCCTGGCTGTGTCCGGGCTCGCCGCCCTTGGCAGCTGAAGGTGCTGGCTTGGAGCAGATTTCGGGTTCTTGGATGATCATTTCTTACAGGTTGCAGCAGTGGCTGAGCACGGAGGGAGCAGAGTGTGCAGAGTGAGGTTCTCTGGGGTTATTCCAGATGTTTTTTGGCTGAATGAGAACAGATCCACATCCCCTTGGAGGATGTGGTGGAATAGAAGGGAGAAGCAGCACCAGGTGCTCCAGGACAGTCTCATCCCCGTGCACAGTTTGCATTTTTGCATCTACAAATCTTACTCCTAGGTGCTTCCTCCCTTTGTTTTCATTGTCCTGTGCTGTGTAAATACCAAATTACCCCATTTTTGGGTGCCTTTGGCATCCTCTCCCTGAGCAGAGCAGGAGCCCCAAAGTAGGGCCCTGCTTCAGAAGGCATTTCTGAAATAAAATCAACATTTATTTTGTGGTTAAATCCAAGCAACCCCCCACCATTGCTGGGGAGATTAATGGGATTTTCAGAGTGAGAGCCACAAATGAGGTGAATAAATCCTAAGCATCCTGTTTGGGATAATTAATAGGAATGCTGCTGCACTGATGGGAATGTTTACCAGCAAGGGCAGCAGTTTGGGGCAGTATTTCACCATTCCTGGGGCACAGATCCCATTTTTCCTGCAGGTTTTTCAGCACCGTTTCTCTCCTGGAATTCCCACCACGACATTCCCGGGACACACAAATCCCAATTTTCCTGCAGGTTTGGGGTTTTTCAGCCCAACTTTCCCTCCTGGAATTGCCACCACGAGGGAGGATTCCTGTTCCTGTGGTTCCTCACATGGAATCGCTCAGAATTCCTCAGAATTCACTCAGAGCTGTCGAGCTCAGCTGCTTTGGGTGAATTTGCAGAGTTTGGAGCCCAAACCCCTTTCCAGGATGGTTCTGATCCCAGTGATGCTTTTCCCTTTGCAGAGGTTCACGCCACAGGGTTCAACTACCAAAATGAGGATGAAAAGGTCACTCTGTCCTTCCCCAGCACCCTGCAGAAAGGTAAGAGCCCTCCCTCCCTCCGGGGCCTTGCAATTCCTTCCTGGAATTCCCCACTCGGCTGTGGAGCCTCTGGAATTGCAGATTTGGGCTGATTTGTGCTGAAATTTGCCCCCAGCCCCCTGAGCAATGGTGCTTTCCCTGCTGGTGGGAGGCAGCAGCAGCTCCTGCCTCTCCTCGGGGCACGGGGAACTTTGGGATTAGCGCAGGATTTTCCTCCCTGCCCACCCTGGGGTTTTCTGAAGATGCTCCAGCTCTGAGGAGCCCCTTGGTTGTCAAAACTCAGCTCCTCGCTTTGGATAAAGCTTCATTTCATCTGGAAATGTATTTTTTTTTAATAATTTCACCTGGATAAGCACTAATAAAGAGGCTGTATGATGATGATGAAGCTGGAATGTTTGATCCTGTGGGATCCTGGCCAGCTCAGCTTTCCCTTTATTTGCACTGAGACACCCAGGGCAGATCTGGATTCATTTATTTATTTATTTATTAATAATTTTATCTGGATAAACAGCACTAAGAGATTGTGGGATGATGATGATGATGAGAGATTGTGGGATGGTGATGGTGATGAAGCTGGAGTGTTTGATCCTGTGGATCCTGTGCCGCTCAGAATTCTGCGCAGGATGAATCCTGAGCCTGCCTCAGGGCTCTGAAGGGGCCGAGCCCCATCTTGCCCTTGAGCACCCCATCATTAACTTCCCAGAATCCCTAAATCCCGGAGTTTTGCAGCCTTTGCCCCACGTTTCTCTGGGAAGCAGAGCCGTGGGGTCCCTCTGTGTGGCTGCTGTGTTGGAAGCAATCCAGCCCGGGGCTCCGGCCCCGCCTGACCGCGCCTCTCCTGCAGGGACGGGGACGCTGAAGATAGACTTTGTGGGGGAGCTGAACGACAAAATGAAAGGGTTCTACCGCAGTAAGTACAGCACGCCCGGCGGGGACACGCGCTACGCCGCCGTCACCCAGTTCGAGGTGAGCCCCCCGCGCTCCCGCTGCCCTTGGGGCGGGCTGCACTCCCACTTGAAGGGGTATTGTATTTTACCTGACTTTGAATTTAAACTCGTTATTGAGTTTTAATTTATTTCATTTTTATTTTACATTTTTATTCTAATTTCATTTCATTTTTGTTTTTATTTTCATTTTTATTTTCATTTTTATTCTAATTTAATTTTATTTTCGTTTTTATTTTCATTTTTATTTTCATTTTTATTCTAATTTAATTTTATTTTCGTTTTTATTTTCATTTCCTTTTCTTTTCTTTTTCTTTTCTTTTTATTTTAATTTCATTTTTATTTTTATTTTCATTCCATTTTTATTTCCATTTTCATTTCTAACCAGGATTTGTGCTGGTAACAGCAAAGACACATTTTCTCACCTTCATCCGTGCTCTCTGGTTGACCATCAGCAGCTCCCTTTGTTGTCCCTCCTGCTGGGGGGCTCAGGGCTGGGCTGGAGCTCCCCGGGGCTCTGTCCCAGCACAAACAGATTTTTGGGGTTCTTGTGGTTCCTGGTGCTGCCACTCCTGCCATGGCTCTGCTAAACTTGGACAAACTTTTATTTAAAACCAGGAGTGAAAGAACAAAAAGCTGATTCAGAGGTCAGGAGTGCAGGGAGGAAACCAAGCCACGATCCTCCCTCTTTTGCTGGAAATAAATTGAATTTCTGTGGGTTTTTGCCACGATCTGCTGTGATTTATTTAATTCTCTTTTTTCCAGGCCACTGATGCTCGCAGAGCTTTCCCTTGCTGGGATGAGCCTGCAATTAAAGCAACGTTTGATATTTCTTTGGTGGTTCCCAAAGACAGAGTAGCTTTGTCAAATATGGTAAGTTTTAAAATATTTTAATGAAATATGCTGTTGATAATTAATAATTTGCCTTGATAGCAGCCGGGAATGAAACCTGCCATAAATGGGGAGAGAAACACAAAATCTGGTGGTTTTAAAAAAATAAAATTGATTTTATGTGCTGCTTGATGAAGAGGGACTGGGGAAAAATCCTTTGTGAGTTTTCCTCTCTGGGTTTCTGTCCAGAGCTGGGGTAAAACGTGGAAGCAGAATAAACACAAACAAACACAAATGAGCATTTTTCATTTGCTGCCTGCACGTGGTTTTAGGTGATGGTACTGGAGAAGAATTGGCTTTATTTAAAAATAGGCTTTATTTATTTGTAAATAAATTATAAATACATTTATTTCTAAATTAATAAAGCCTGGCCTGGCCCTGCCACAAAGTTTTTGTGTCTGGGTTTATATCAATAATATGCTAATGTAACAAACAGAAATATAATATGAAAATAATATATCATATGCATTACATAATAATTATAATTTTATTCACTATAAAAATAGTAATGTTTATAATTACACTCTAACCACATTATAATTAATATTAATATTATTTATTAATATTTTATGGTAATAAAATCACACCTCCAGCTGGGATGGGGCACTTCAGCCACGAGAGAGCTCCTTGAAAACCCCAAATCCCTTGAATTTTAACCACAAGGAGGGAATGGTTTCTCCAGCATGTTGGGAATTCCCACTTTGGAGCAGGCACGATGCACCTGAGGGGTTTTATCCAAACAATGCCAGTCCTGGAGCTGGAAAGTTGCTCATGATGGTAACTTAGGAGTTATTTTGGAGCAACTCCTGGAATGGTTTGAGATTTAACTCGTTTAGTGAGGACAAAGAATCAGCAGCAGGAGTGAAACCCATCCAGAAATCCCATGTAGAAATTCCATTTCTGGGCGTTCTTTTCAAGCCTCTCTTTCCCAAACCCTTTGTGTCATAAAAAATACAACACTGGGATAAAAAATCCCCCTTTTGGAGCCCCAAACCCCAAATTTACAGCACTGGGGTAAGAAATCCCCCTTTTGGAGCCCCAAACCCCAAATTTACAGCACTGGGGTAAGAAATCCCCCCCATTTCTCTGCATGTCACACCCCAAATTTACAGCACTGGGATAACAAATCTCCCTTTTGGAGCCCCAAACCCCAAATTTACAGCACTGGGGTAACAAATCCCCTTTTGGAGCCCCAAGCCCGTTTCCCTGCAGCTCACACCCCACGTCCCCCTGCCGTTGCCCAGAACGTGGTGGAGCGGCGGCCGTACCCCGACGACGAGAGCCTGGTGGAGGTGAAGTTCGCGCGCTCGCCGGTCATGTCCACGTACCTGGTGGCCTTCGTGGTGGGCGAGTACGACTTCGTGGAGGCGCGCTCGCAGGACGGCGTGCTGGTGCGCGTCTACACGCCCGTGGGCAAGGCCGAGCAGGGCAAGTTCGCCCTGGAGGTAAGGCTGGGGGGGTTTGGGGCCTGGGCACCGCTGAAATCAGCGAGTTCCCGGAGGTAAATCTGGGTCAAGCTTGGGGGGTTTGGGGTCTGGTCACTCACTGAAATCTGGGAGTTTTGGGGTTTTTTTCCTAGTTTCAGTCATAAATCCTAATTTCTTAACTGCAGTCACAATTTCTTTGTTCCAGTCAGAATTTCCTAGTTTCAACCATAATTTCTTCGTTTCAGTCATAATTCCTTAGTTTCAATCCTAATTTCTTAATTGCAGTCACAATTTCTTTGTTTCAGTCAGAATTTCCTAGTTTCAACCACAATTTCTTCGTTTCAGTCCTAATTCCTTAGTTTCAGTCACAATTTCCCAGGTGTTGCCCAGTTCCAGGTTAACAGAACATTTCTTCTCTCGTTTCTTACAGGTTGCTGCTAAAACTCTGCCTTTTTATAAGGACTACTTCAATGTTCCTTACCCTCTTCCTAAAATTGATCTCATAGCTATTGCAGACTTTGCTGCTGGTAAAGTAACTCGTTTTATTGCTGAAATTGTGTTTTGTTTGAATTTTTGTATTAAAATACCTTTAGGAAGAGGTGTGGATCAATATCAATAAACCTTTGTATTTATTTTATAAAGGTGCCATGGAGAACTGGGGCCTTGTTACTTATAGGTATGATGTTAAAATACTGTCTTTCCCCCTCTTTGTTCATTAATTCTTGGAGTTAATTGGATTCATTTGAGGCAGCTCTAATTGCTGGGTGTCATCCCAAATCAGACAGAGCCAATCCTTTCGATTTTTAGTTTGGTTTGGATGATTTTGGTGGTGTTGTTGCAGCTCAGGAAGGCAAAAATCAGCCACTGGCTGAGGGTTTGAAATTGAAAAAACCTTCTTGGCCCCTTTTTTCCCCATAAAATCTCCTGACACAGCTGGGAGAGTTTATTTTATCTCATAGGTAAATTTGGCAGCCACAGAGTAAAGGTGTGGAGATGGGAAAATCAAAAATATTAACTCACCTTCCTTTGCAGTTTGATTTTTTTACTTTTTCTGATCAAGCTTTTGCACTTTTGCTTGATATTAATTTGTTTTCTCTGCTGGTGGTCAGGAGGATTTCCCTGAATTTTGAACAACTTGTAAGCTTTGGACTTTGAACCCTGAAATCATTTGGGATTTCTTCTGCTCAGCTTTGAATTTGGCCTTAAAAAAACCAAAACAAATTCGAGCCCAGGTTTTAAATTTTTCTCTCATTATTGCAATTCTGATGAAATCTGATATTTTATTCCTTGTGGGGAAAAAATTGTAAATATATTTATCCTGGATGGGGAGAATTTTTGGGATGGAGCTGTGAAATTTTGCCCCTTTGTGCTGAGTTTGCTCTGCCCCCTTTGGGGACCTGCAGGCACCATCCTTGGGGAGCTTCTTCCCTGGAATTTCAGCATTCCAGAGGTCCCTGAGCGGGGCTGGGAGGTGCCACAGAGGAGAAATTGCTGTTGGCACCTCTTGGAAGAGCCAGAATTCCTTTGGGAATGCTGAGGGGGGCAGGATCTGCGCCCACCCCGGAGCACAGGGGGAGCTGAGCTTCCAAAAGTTACCTAGAGGAGCATTTTGATAAATAAAACTACATTTTCCTCCTTCTGCCTGGGCTTTTTTTCTTCCACTTCTTGCATGCCATAAAATATCTCCTGCTCCAAAGCACTCCAGCAGCTCTGGAACTCACTGAGAATTTCATGGCTACAGCTACATTGAAATAGATTTTGGGTTGGTTTTTTGGGCTTTTTTCCTCGCTTAGGTAATTTCACCTCCTGTGGGTTGTGGTGTTTTATCCCCCCAGGGCTGTCCCCTCCTGCTGAGCTGTGCTTTTCTCTCCACCCCAGGGAGACTGCGTTGCTCATCGACCCCAAGAATTCCTGCTCCTCGTCCCGCCAGTGGGTGGCTCTGGTGGTGGGGCACGAGCTGGCCCACCAGTGGTTTGGGAACCTCGTCACCATGGTACCTCACCCCCCAAAATCCCCCTCTTTATTTAAATCTGCCTCCTGTCCTGCCCAAAATCTGCGTTTGCACACCCCTAAACATCAGCACGTTGTGATAGCATCATTAATTTAATATTTAAATGGTGGTTTATGGTAGCTAACCCTTCAAAATCCCGTTTTTTATTTAAATCTGCCTCCTGTCCTGCCCAAAATCTGAGTTTGGATGCCCCTAAACAGCAGTACTGTGATAGCATCATTAATTTAATATTTAAATGGTGGTTTATGGTAGCTAACCCTTCAAAATCCCGTTTTTTATTTAAATCTGCCTCCTGTCCTGCCCAAAATCTGAGTTTGGATGCCTCTAAACAGCAACACGCTGAGACAACATAATCAATTTAATATTTAAGTGGTGGTTTATGATACCTAGACCCTCCAAAATCCCTTTTTTGATGTAAAATTGCTCCGTATTCTGCCCAAAGTGTGTGTTTGGGTGCCCCTGCCCGGCAGCGCGCTGCGTTACAATAACTGCTGTAAGGCTCCCTGTGGCTTTGGTCCTTCACCCTGCACGTTGGTGCCCTGCAGGAGTGTAAGGCTCCCTGTGGCTTTGGTCCTTCACCCTGCACGTTGGTGCCCTGCAGGAGTGGTGGACCCACCTGTGGCTGAACGAGGGCTTTGCCTCGTGGATCGAGTACCTGTGCGTGGATCACTGCTTCCCCGAGTACGACATCTGGACCCAGTTCGTGTCTGCTGACTACACACGAGCCCAGGAGCTCGATGCCTTAGACAACAGCCACCCCATCGAGGTCAGTCCTGTTTTTCCAGCCTTTTCCCCCCTGTTCCCTGTGATGAAAAAGGGAATTTTGTGGTGGTGGCCGAGCCGAGCGCGGTCCGGAGCCGCGCTGCGCTCTGTGGGTTCTGCTCTCCCTGTGCCCCAAAACACTCCCTTGCAACCCCTAGACATCTAATTCCTATGGATTCTAACGTTGTACAAAATATTTGGTGAAATAAATTTTGGGAAATGACCTTGTCCAGCAGGGCATTTTAGTGATTTGCTCCCTGGGCGTGCCTTGCCCGCTGTCCCTGGATTTAATAATTGTAACAATCTTAATCCTGATTTAACAAAAGATTTGCTGCTTTTGGGAAGCCAAGGATTGAAGGAAGATCCCCACATTTATCTGATCCAGCACCAAAACATAACTTAAACCATATTTAACTTCCAAACCAGCCCTGACCCAGCCATATCTGGGGGATTTTCCTTGCCTGGGGGCAGAGATCCTCTCAGACAATCCAGCAGTGGGAGAGGAGAGAAAGAATCCCTCAGACTTTCACCTCTAAAACTGACATTTCCCCTCAGATTTTCACCTCTAGAACAGTGCCATGAGCAAAATGCCGTTTTTGGCTGCTCAGATCCTTCTCACTGGGGGCTGTGGTGCTTCCCACAGGTCAGCGTGGGCCATCCCTCCGAGGTGGATGAAATATTTGATGCCATTTCCTACAGCAAGGGAGCCTCTGTGATCCGCATGCTGCACGACTACATTGGGGACGAGGTACAGGCATGGGAACTGGGGCTTTCCAGGGCGTTCTTTGCAGCTAAACTTGCTTAGGTGGAGATTTCCAGGGCGTTTTTTACAGCTAAACTTGCTCAGGTGGAGATTTCCAGGGCGTTTTTTACAGCTAAACTTGCTCAGGTGGAGATTTCCAGGGCGTTTTTTACAGCTAAACTTGCTCAGGTGGAGATTTCCAGGGCGTTTTTTACAGCTAAAATTACTGGGGTTTAAAAAAAAAAATGAAGTCTTTCTGTGTTTTGAAAATTTCTCCACTTCGAGAAACGAGATAATGGGAAATAGAGAAGGAATTCCTGATTTTAAAGATTCCTTGCCTGATCCCTGGGGATAAAAGCAGAGCAGGAGGAGGATGGGAAATCCCTGTGACATCTGCACTTGTGTGTTCCCAGGATTTCCGGAAAGGAATGAACCTGTACCTGACCAAGTTCCAGCAGAGGAATGCTGCCACAGGTAACTGGGTCACTGGGATGGCCACAAAAGTTATTTTTGGACTCAAAACTGCTGGTTTTCCACCTGAAATAATTGAAATCCCAGGAAATTCCTGCCTTGTTCCCAGTTTCATGCCCTGCACAGGAAGGATGGAGCATGCCTGGGGATTTTCTGATTTTTTCAAGGGCTGAGTTACCACTGGAAAATATCTTACAAATATTCTTTGGTTTGCCAGGAGAGCCTTCTGCAGTATTGATCCTGTGATTAAACAGGTCAAAGTCTGAGATTTTTGCTTTTAAACCTTCTATTTTTGTGTATCAGGCACAAATGTGGAAGTGGGGACATCAAAGCCCAGTCAGCCAAATCCGATCTGTGGTGTTTGGTCAGTGATTTTTAACATAATACACTTAAAAAACCTGAAGGGAAATGTTCTCTTTTAATATTTAATGTTAATTTTGGCATCACAATTTGTATTGATTGGGCTTTTTTAGCAGTAAAGAAGCTGCTTTCCCCCTCTGTCCTTCCCAAGGAGGTTTAAATTTTTTTTTTTTTTTTTTTTTTTTTTTTTTTTTTTTTTTTTTTTTTTGCCTGTCATCTGTTAAATTCCAACAAAACACAAGGTGGAGTAAGAACCCAACTTTCCCTATGCTGTCCCTGATAAAACCTGATTCAAATCCTTTTCTCCTGCAGAGGATCTCTGGGAAAGCCTGGAAAAAGCCAGTGGCAAACCCATTGCTGCTGTGATGAACACGTGGACCAAACAAATGGGATTTCCCCTCATTTACGTGGAGGCTGAACAGGTGAAAATGGAGCTGGGCCTTAATTTCAGATCAGATCTAACAATATTCCCTGATTTTGGGCATTCCCTTGGATCAGGAGTGATAAAATGGAATTGTGCCTTAATTTTGGATCAGCTTGAACACTATTCCCTGATTTTGGGCATTGCCTTGGATCAGGAGTGATAAAATGGAATTGTGCCTTGATTTTGGATCAGGTTGAACACTATTCCCTGGTCCAGGTCATTCCCTTGGATCAGGGATTATAAAATGGAACTGTGCCTTGGTTTGGATCAGACTGAACACTATTCCCTGATTTTGGGCATTGCCTTGGATCAGGAGTGATAAAATGAAATTGTGCCTTGGTTTTGGATCAGGTTGAACACTGTTCCCTGATTTTGGGCATTGCCTTGGATCAGGAGTGATAAAATGGAATTGTGCCTTGGTTTTGGGTCAGCTTGAACACTGTTCCCTGATTTTGGGCATTGCCTTGGATCAGGAGTGATAAAATGGAATTGTGCCTTGGTTTTGGGTCAGCTTTAACACTGTTCCCTGGTTTTGGGCACTCCCGTGGTCGGGGAGGCCCCCCGTGGGCACAGCTCTGCTTCTGAGGGGCAGGAGGTGCCAAATCCCTGTGGCTTCATCCCAAAACTGCCCGCATCCCTGGAGTTGGCTGACTTTGGGAACTGTTTGTGGGGGGAGGGAATCATTCCGCTGCAATTGTGCTTATTCCACAACTGCAGGATGGGGGAGGCTCCAGGCGTTTTCTGAGGGGAAAAACCCAAATTATTCCATGGAACAGGGGGCAGTGACACGCGGGGACTGCAGTTAAACGTGCTAATCGTCCCCTTTTCTCATTTTCTTGCCTTTTTAAATTTTTTTTAAACATTTTTTTCCCTCAGCAAGAAGATGACAAAGTGTTGAAGTTGGTCCAGAAGAAATTCTGTGCCAGTGGACCATATACTGGTAAGAGGAGAGCTGGAGCAGGAATGGGTGGGCACAGAACCACAAAACCTCCCCACTCTGAAGAGATATTGTTGTTTTTTGTTGTTTTTCATCCAAAAGCACTGATTCTGGGAGCTGATGCAGCCCCAGGCCTGTGCTCTGCCTGGATCCAGGTGGGAAAATCTGAGGAAATCCAAGTCTGGGCTTTTCCCACTTGTGGTTCCCATATCCTGCCATGGAGAGCAGCATTCCTTGGCTCAAAATTCTTCCAGAAATGTCCATTTTAGGGCCAGGGCTCTCTGAGGGGCTGGGGAGCAGCTGCTTTGTGGTGGTGCTGAAATAAATGAAATAAAAACCCCTCAGGTGGGAGCCACCACGGATTCCAGCACTGGTTCCACTCACCTTCCCTGCTTATCCAAATTAAAATGTTTGGCTTGAAAGCCGATTTAAAGCTTTTTGGGGGTTTTACCTCTAAAACTGTCACTTTCATACAGATTTTTTACTTCTAAAACTGCCATTTCCCCTCAGATTTTTTACTTCTAAACCTGCCATTTCCCCTCAGATTTTTTACTTCTAAACCTGCCATTTCCCCTCAGATTTTTTACTTCTAAAACTGCCATTTCCCCTCAGATTTTTTACTTCTAAACCTGCCATTTCCCCTCAGATTTTTTACCTCTAAACCTGCCATTTCCCCTCAGATTTTTTACCTCTAAAACTGCCATTTCCCCTCAGATTTTTTACTTCTAAACCTGCCATTTCCCCTCAGATTTTTTACCTCTAAACCCAACACATTCCCTCAGATTTTTACCTGAAGACCTTTCAGATTTGGGCCTTTTCCCCGTTCCCTTCCAGCGCGGCGCCGGGCGCTGTTGAGCCGTTTCTCCGAGCTTTCCCCCGTTTCCCTGCTCTGTTCCAGGCGAGGATTTCCCCACGTGGATGGTGCCCATCAGCATTTGCACGAGCGAGGACCCCAGCTGTGCCAAAATGCAGGTTCTGATGGACAAGGCCGAGCTCACCGTGGTGTTGAAGGACACCAAACCCGAGCACTGGGTCAAGGTGAGCCTGCACCTTCCTTCTCCTCCTCCCGATTTCCCTTTCCCCCTGGAATTTCGCTTTTCCTCTGGAAAAGCCTCTTTTCTTCCCCGTGCTCCTGTGGGAATTGGTTCCCATTCCTCCCCTTTCTTTCCCGTTTTCCTGCAATGTCAACTGGAGTTCTTTGGGGATTCAAGCCTGGGGAAAAATGTGAAGTTAAAGGCAGGGTTTGAGTTGAGATGTGGTGGTTTTTTTAGTCATTGTTATCATTATTATTGCAATTATTGTTCTTGTGGTTACTGTATATTGCAATTATTGTTCTTGTGGTTATTGTGTTATTGTCTCATTGCCATTATAGTAATTATTTCAATCATTATATACTTTATGCCATCTATTAAATGTATTCTCTCACCATACTGATATTTAAATTCTTAACTATATATATATGCTATAAGTCTATACGTGATATTATTTTAATGAATATAAATGCATGCAATATATTTAGATATCTAAATGATAATTTCTATATGTATATAATATATATTAATACATAATTTAATATATCGGTTTTATATATATAGTTTTTCTACATATGCTTTTTATATATAAAACACATATAGAGAGAGGCATATTTTAGAGAAATGTGAAGATTTATTTTAGATAAATATGAAGATTTATTTTAGATAAATGTGAAGATTTATTTTAGATAAATATGCATAAATGTAAAAGCCTACTTTAAATGTATCACAATATAAAGATATATTTTTTGATAAATAGATACAGATACAAAGATATTTCAGATAAATGCCTGTAAAGTTTCAGTAGAGAAGTATAAATACAAATACATATTTTAGATAAATAGTAATAGATACAAAGACATATTATATACAATATACACATATTTTACATATATATATATATACACATATTTTACACACATATATATACATATTTTACATGTATATACACATATTTTACACACATATATATACATATTTTACATGTATATACACATATTTTACACATATATACACATATTTTACATCTATATACACATATTTTACACATATATATACAGATATTTTACATATATATACACATATTTTATACATATATATACACGTATTTTACATATATATACACATATTTTACACATATATATACACATTTTACATATATATACACACATTTTACACATATATACACACACATTTTACACATATATACACACATATTTTACACATATATATACACATTTTACATATATATACACACATTTTACACATATATACACACACATTTTACACATATATACACACATATTTTACACATATATATACACATATTTTACACATATATATACACATTTTACACATGTATGTATACATATTTTACATATATATATATACATATTTTACACATAACACACACATACACACACACGTTTTACACACACACACACACACACACATACACACACGTTTTACACACACACACGCACACGCACACCCAGCTCCGTTCAAAGCCCCGCGAGCGCAGCCCGTGTTCACACACACACACGGAGCAGCAGTGCGCGCGCTCCCGGTGCTGAGCCGCCCGCGCTCTCTGTGTGCAGCTGAACCTGGGCACCGTGGGCTTCTACCGCACGCAGTACAGCCCGGCCATGCTGGAGAGCCTGATCCCGGCCATCCGCGACCTGTCCCTGCCGCCCGTGGACAGGCTGGGGCTGCAGAACGACCTCTTCTCCCTGGTGAGCCCCGGAGCGGGCTGCGTGCTGGGGAAAATCCTCTGGAATGGGGGATAGTCCCATTTTTCTGTTCTTTCTCACTCCTTGACCCTCCTGAGGGGGCTGGTTTTGGGAAAACAGGGAAAAGCCCCTAAATAATCCCATTTATCCATTTTCTCTCACTCCTAGGCCTTCCTGACAGGTCTGGCCTTGAGAAAACAGGGAAAAGCTCCCAAATAATCCCATTTTTCCATTCTTTCTTACTTCTAGACCCTCCTGAGGGGGCTGGTTTTGATAAAACAGGGAAAAGCTCCCAAATAATCCCATTTTTCCATTCTTTCTTACTTCTAGACCCTCCTGAGGGGTCTGGTTTTGGGAAAACTGGGAAAAGCTCCTAAATAATCCCATTTTCCTGTTTTTCCTCCCTCCTAGGCCACCTGGATGCCCTGCTGAGGGGGCTGGCTTTGATAAAACAGGGAAAAGCTCCCAAATAATCCCATTTTTCTGGTTTTCCTCCCTCCTAGGCCACCTGGATGCCCTGCTGAGGGGGCTGGTTCTGGGCAAGCTGGGCAAGGCCGGGCACAAGGCGACGCTGGAGGAGGCGCGGCGCCGCTTCAAGGAGCACGTGGAAGGGAAGCACGTCCTGTCTGCTGACCTGAGGAGCCCTGTAGGTCCTGGGGGGCTTTGGGGTCCCCTCAGCCTGCCCCCTGCCCCGGGCAGGTGTATTCCAAAGGGTAGGCAGTGAGAGGGAAGCAGGGTGGGAGATGGGAGCATCCCTCCTTTTGTCATCCTGGATTTTCCCGCTTTTGGAATTGCCAGAATTCTCCTGAAATGGAGGAAAACATCCAAGAGTTGAAGCATCTCTGCAGTGCAGAGTTAAAACCCAGGAGGGAGCAGGGCTGCTGCTTCCAGATGTGGGAATTCCAACCCAATTCCATGCAAACTGCTGCTTTTCCAGAAGTGTGATGGTTTTTTCCCTGGTTTTCTCCCAGGTCTACGTGACCGTGCTGAAGCACGGGGACAGCTCCACCCTGGACACCATGCTGAAGGTGGGTGCTCCCCCCCCAAAACCCCTCATTTCCCCCTAAAAATCCCTCTGGGCTGGGGTTTATCCACACCCAGTCCCTGGTGCTGTGAAATTCCCTTGGGAATTTCTCCCTGTGCATGAACTGGTGAAAATCACTTTATTCCTCGGAATTAACGGCGCCACCAGCCAGGCCAGTTTGTCCCTGATTAGGTTTGCTGAGTAATTAGCAGCTGTGGCAGCCACGGAGGGCTCGTTAGGGGTGGAGTTAAGGATGAATTACTGTCGGGATGTGTTTCCCCTCAGCTGCACAAGCAGGCTGACATGCAGGAGGAGAAGAACCGCATCGAGCGCGTCCTCGGGGCCATCTCCCAGCCAGAGCTGATCCAGAAAGTTCTCACCTTTGCACTTTCAGTGAGTTCCTCCCCCTGGGACGTTCCTGGGTCACCCTGGGCTGGGCTGAGCCTGCAGGAATCCTCCTCAGGCTTGGAGCTGTGTCTTCAGTTTGGGCAAATTCCAAATGAAGAAAGAATTGGCTGAGCTGGGTCCAAATGAAGAAAAATTTGGCTGAGTTGGGTCCATATTAAGAAAAAATTGACTGAATTTGGTCCAAATTAAGAAAAAATCTGAATGAATTGGATCCAAATTAAGAAAAATCTGAATGAATTGGATCCAAATTAAGAAAAATCTGAGAGTAAGTTCAGAGTAACACAAATCCGAGAGCCTTGGTTCCAAATTAACAAAAATTTGAGTGAGCTGCATCCAGATTAACAAAAATCTGAGAGAGTTGGTTCCAAATTAACAAAAAATCTGAGTAAGGTGGTTCCAAATTAAAAAACCTCTGGATGAGCTGATTCCAAATTAAGAAAATTTGGATTTGTCTGGTTGGAGGCACCTGCTCTGGGGATTTTGTGTGTTCAGAGCAGTTCATTCCCTGGTGCTGTGGAAATTAATCCCAATTTTCCTGGCACTGCTCTGCTCCCAGCACCAATCCCCAGGAAGCCAAAATGCAGTTTGACCTCTCAATTTACCAGAGAGCCAAAATAATCTCTCTAAATTTTTCCTTTTTTAGTAAAAATAAGATTTTCTTGCTGGGTGTAACCTGAGGATAACTCAGGGATTTGCTTCCCCTTCAATCTTTGAGCTGCACATTCAATTTTGGGGTAAAAGATTTGCTTTAATTGACAGATTGGGCTGTAGAAATACCAAACCCTCAGGCCAAGGAGCAGGAATTGTTGTCAAAATGCAGAAAGCTGATCCCATTTCCCTCCCCAGGAAGAGGTACGTCCCCAGGACACGGTGTCAGTGATTGGAGGAGTGGCTGGGGGCAGCAGACAGGGCAGGAAAGCTGCTTGGAAATTCGTGAGGGACAACTGGGAGGAGCTTTACAATCGATACCAAGGTGGATTCCTAATATCCAGGTTAATAAAGGTACGTGGGGCCCTGGGGAGGAGCCCTTCCCTCCCATCTGGGGCTGGAAATTGTGAATTTCACTTTAATGCTGGGTTTTTCCCCCTTCAGCTCACAGTGGATGGATTTGCAAATGACAAAATGGCTGCAGAAGTGAAGGTAAGAAGCTTTAATTAAAGAATTTATTAATTAGTCACTGATAAACTTGGGGTGCTCTGGCTGGAAGGAAAAAAAAGATCTGGTGGATTTTGTTGTTCTGTCCCAAAACTGCCCCTCTTGAGTTGGATAAAATATTATTGAAATGCCTTAAATCAGCATTTTGGAAGAAATCTGGAATTTCCACTGATTTGTTCTTCACTGATTTCAACTTTGACAAAATCCAGCAGAGTTTGGCAGCAGCTTTGAGGCTCCCAAAAAAAGAAAACTTTAAAATACTCAGGATTATCCCAACCTCCATCATTGGTAGAGCTCTGAGAGTGGGTGTGGATTTCATTGTTTATTCTTTCCCCACATTTTTCCAAGAACATCTTGAAAGAAGAAACTTTAAAATAGGACTGTTAATTTGTTAATTAGCACTTTTTTTTAGTTAGGAAAGCACTCAGGAGGAATTGTTATTCCAAACATCAGCTGAGCCCTGAGCTGGCTCTGTCCTTTTTATCATTTAGTGACTTTTCTTAGTAAAGATTTAACAGCAGAAATGATTTTACAGAGAAATTTTGCATTAGAATTTATTTTATTTTCTTTTTTTGCAAAACACTGAGCGGGAAAACCAGCCCTGATTAACTCCCAGCTCATTTCCAAGAGAATTCCTGACCTTTGAGTGGGAATTTCCCACGTCTGAGCCTCAGTGTCACCTTGCAGAGCAGGAGCTGATCTGCCAAATCCTGGGAAAAGCTGCTTGGAGGGAGGCAGGGACAGCTCCAGGCTGGGCCAGCTCCCTGGGCCTGGAAAATGCAGAGTCACAGCAGCCCTGGGGAGTGCTCAGGGAACGTGACACTGCCCTGGGCCACTCTGGGGACACTGCCCTGGGCCACTCTGGGGACCCCTGGGCTTGGGGACACTGCCCTGGGCTTGGGGACACTGCCCTGGGCCACTCTGGGGACACTGTCCTGGGCCACTCTGGGGACACTGCCCTGGCCTGGGGACACTGTCCATCCAAACTGGCCCTGGGAAGAAAGCTGAGAATGGGACCAGGGCTGTGCCCAAGGCTCTGGAGCCTTCTCTTGGGGTCTTTCTGCTCCAAATACCCCAAAATATCCCCGGGAGCTGCTGCCTGTGGGGCTGGCTCAGCTCCTGGGGTCCCTGGCAGCACACAGCTCCCTCGGGGACAGCCGGGGCTGTGGGGTCATCCTGCAGAGGGCCGGAGCTGGGCTGGACAGCCAGCCCTCCCTGCAGGTGCTTCCCCATCCCTGCAGGTGTTCCCATCCCTGCAGGTGTTCCCATCCCTGCAGGTGTTCCCCTCCCTGCAGGTGTTCCCATCCCTGCAGGTGTTCCACTATCCCTGCAGGTGTTCCCATTCCTGCAGGTGTTCCCCATCCCTGCAGGTGTTCCCATCCCTGGAAGCATTTCCCCATCCCTGCAGGTGTTCCCATTCCTGCAGGTGTTCCCATTCCTGCAGGTGTTCCCCCTCCCTGCAGGTGTTCCCCATCCCTGCAAGCATTTCCCCATCCCTGCAGGTGTATCCCCACCTCTGGAAGCGTTTCCCACCGCCGCAGGTGCCCGTGGCCGTGCCCGAGTTTTGGGGCCGCCCCCCCCCAGCCCGTTCCGTGCCCCGCGCCCCCTCCCCAGCCCCGTGCTGAGCGCAGCCCCCGGGCTGTCCCGTCCCTTCCCCGCAGGCGTTCTTCGAGAGCCACCCGGCGCCGTCGGCGGAGCGCACGGTGCAGCAGTGCTGCGAGAACATCCTGCTGAACGCGGCGTGGCTGCGGCGCGACGCCGACAGCATGCAGCACTTCCTGCAGCAGCGCCGCGCCGCGCCCGTGTGAGCCCCGCTCCCGCTCGGGACTGGCCTTTGCTTTGTTTCCCCTTCCTTCGGTTGGTTTTTTTCCCCTTTTTTTCCCTTTTATTTTTTTTTTTGGGTTTTTTTTTTGTTTTTTTTGTTTTTTTTTTTTTGGTTTTGTTTTGTTTTGGTTTTTTTTTGTTTATTTCCTCTTCCTCCTCCTCCTCCTCCTCAAGCCCGTGGGGACTGGACCGTGAATGTAGAGTTTAATCGGTTCCTGCTCACACACTCCAAGAATTTGGGAAAATTCTGTTCGGGAAAAAAAAACAACAGCAGCAACAACAACAACAACAAAAAAAAAATCTGTCAGCGATTCTGCAGAAAGAGAGAGAGAGAGAAAAAATACAAAAACACAAAAAAAAAGAGAGAGAAAAATCTGTAAATATGATAGTAATAAAATAGAGCATAACAAAACTGTGAAACTTCCTCCAGCCTTGTCAGTGGTTAAAATATTTAACCCCCTCCCCTTCCCTGACTTATTGACAGATGTTCTGGTTTTTACCCCCTCCCTCCCCCAGCACAGAGGAAAGCAGGGGCGTTCAGCTCTGAGGTCACGGGGTGAGGTTTGGGGACGTGTCCCTGACCCCTCCCCACCCCAAGGACGGCAGGGTTCCCCCTTCCCTTTTGTGTCACCTCTGAGCAACAAAAACAAACCCAAAAAAACCCCAAAAGGCCCCCGTTGTGTTTGTGCTGGGCTCCCCCTGGCTGCTGTCCCTGTGGGGAGCTCGGGCTTGGTCAGAGCCACGCCGACCCCTGAGCTTTGTGCGGTTTGGTTTTGTCCCCGTTTGCTCCCGGCCCCTTCTCCCCGTGCAGGGGCCGGCGCTGCCCTGCCTCCTCCTCCAGAGCATCCACTGCTCCCAGCTCCTGCTCCCTCCTCCATCATCCCCCCGGAAATTGGGTTCTGAAGCCTTAAATCAGTGATGATGATGAAGATGAAGCTGTGCCATCGTCCCCTCCCACAGCAGCGTGGTCCTACTAACCAGCCACCCTCTAATACGCAAAGGTTGGAGTTCCAGCTTTTTATTTTTGGTTTTTCCTCCCTTTTTCCTTATTTTCTTTAACAGGAATTCGTACTTGGTGTGGCTTAACTGTTAATTTTTTCGGAAGGTCATCAGATTTAACTTGTCAGACTGCTTCCCCTCGAGACATTTTTGTGCTATTGTTTAAAAAAAAAAAAGATTACAAAAAAATCCAAAAAAAACCCAACAAAAAAGTACAAAATAAACAAAAAAAAAATCTAAAACAGTTGGCGTTAATAAAAATGTCAATGTGAAATTCATGTCCTCACCTTGTGTTCTGTTTGAAGGCTGAGAGGACCCAAAGCTGGGTTTATTGGAGCCTGAAAGGACCCAAAGCTGAGTTTAATTTAAAGCCTGAAAGGACCCAAAGCTGTGAGGGGACAGCAGAGGCCAAGGTGTCACTTGCAGGACCCTCCTGTGCCACTGGGGCTGGCTTTAGGCTGGCAGAGCCCGAGCAGAGCCTGTGTAATCCGAATAAAAACCTCCCCCAGGCACTCCAGAGCTGCCCAGGGCTGAATTCAGCAGAGAAAGGAAAGAAAAAACCTGACTGTGAATCAAAAAAATGGTATTAAACAGCCAAAGGTGACAGAATAAGAGCGTGGAGGCACTGCCAGGGTGGGGAACACCCCGAAAATGGGAATTTCGAGGCTCTGAGCTCGCGGCCGGTCGCATTCCCGAGGCTGGGGCTGGCTTGGGAATTTCCTGCTGTCAGCACCAGCCCTGCCCCGGGCTGAGCCGCTTTCATTCCGCTCCCTGCACACGGACAAAACCGAAATAACCCCGGGGGAGCGGGGGATCCGTGTGGGAGAGGCACAGAAACAAAACCCCGGCAGCGACAGGGCCGGGAGAGCTGGATCCCCACTTAAAGGAACTTTGGGATTGGTCTTTTCCACAGGAAATCTTCGTTTTTAGAGCGGGAGACAAAGTGATGATGCTGGGGAGAGGGGCAGGACGGGCACAGGAAAGGCTGAGATGGGGCTCGGGGTGATTAATTAACGAGGGCATTGCGGTAATTAACGAGGGAATTGCGGCTGCCACACCCCTGGCAGTGTCCCTGGAGCGCTCTGGGACCCGTCCCTGCCCCTGGCACGGTGGCACGGGATGAGTTTCACTCTCCTTCCCACCCAAACCATTCCAGGGTTTTGCCCACGGGATTTGGGAGCGTTCCCTGGGGCTGAGGGTCCCACCAGGGACACCGGAGGGATCCAAGGAGGGATCCAGGGATCCATCCACGCCTGGCTCTGCCCCTGCTCCCCTCCCTGGCCCTTTCTGTATTCCCTGCAACCTGGATTTTTTTAGGGAAGGATGGGCACTCCCTGTAACCTGGATATTTTTGGGGAATGATGGATACTCCCTGCAACCCGGATTTTTTAGGGAAGGATGGATGTTCCCCATAACCCGGATTTTTTCAGGGAATGCCGGATATTCCCCGGAGCCCTGGGCGCTCCCATTTCCCCAGCAATGAATAAAATCCTCCCCCGGGGCCAGCACGGGCTCTGCTCCGCGGAATTCCCCCCGGGAACGAACAGCCGCACTCCGTGGGAATCTGGGCTTTGGGATGGAGCCCTGCGGGCAGCACGGACCTGTCGGGCAGCTCCTCCTCAGCTTCCAGCCGGGAATTCCCCTGGATTGCCCCACGGGAGGAACCTCTGGGAGCTGCTCCTCCTCCTCTGGGCCCGGGAAGCAGCCGGAGGCCGGGATGCAGGCAGCTGTTTGCAGCTGGAATGGGATCGCTGGGGCCAGCTGCTCCCGGGTGTTTCTCACTCCAGAGTTTCCGTGGATCTCGGAATCCTGGAATGGTTTGGGTGGGAAGGACCTGAAATCCCACCCAGGGCCAGGGCCAGGGCCAGCTCCCACTGTCCCAGGCTCCAAAGCCCAGGCTCCAGCCTGGCCTGGGGCACTGCCAGGGATCCAGGGGCAGCCCCAGCTGCTCTGGGAAATCTCTGCAGGCTTTTACACCTTCACTGCCAAAACTTCTTCCTTCCAGCTCACCCAAACCAACCCTCTTCCACTTTAGAACCACCCTCCCCTGTCCCACCACACCCTTCCCCCAACCCCAGAACCTCCTGAGCTGGAAGGGACCCACAGGGATCACCCAGCCCAGCTCCCATCCCTGCAGGACACCCCAAAATCCACCCCGGGCACCCCTGGCAGCGCTGCCCAAACATTCCTGCAGCTCTGCAGGGTTTGGGATCACGGCCACTCCACAGGAGCTGTGCCAGTGCCCCAACACCTCTGGGGGAAACCCCAAAATCCATCCCAAAACTCCTGCAGCTCTGGGATCACGGCCCCTCCATGGAGCCGTCCCAGTGCCCGACCTCTCCCTTCCAAGGCGGAATTCCTTCCCCGGGCCCGGTCCCACCCTGCCCTCCCCCCCGGGCTCCTCCTTCTCCCGAATTCCCTGGGCTCCGTTCCCGGATCCCCTCCCAGGATCCCGAATCCCCCGGGAGCGAGGGCCGGTGCCGGGGCCGAGCGCGGCGCTCCCCGCCCGGGGCGGTGCTCGGCTCTCCCGGCCCCTCCCGGTGACTGCCGCCTGTCCCCGCGGTCTGTGTGTCACTAATTGCCGTTACGGCCCGTTAATTGTCCCGCCGGCCTCCAGCTGTCCCGTTCTCCCTCTTTTCCTTCCCGTGCCCGCTTCCCTCGGCGGTGCCCGGTGTCACCCGGCTTGGGGACACACCGGCATGCGGCGGGACCCCGGTGCCCGTCCCGGGGGCACTCGGAGGACACCGGAGCCGGTGCGGGGCGGTTCTGGAAGCGCTTCCATCCCCCGGTCACCGGCACCGGCCCGGGGAACATCCCGCTTCTTGCGGGATGCCCGTGCCGGAGCGACTCTGCAGGGCCGGGCGGACACACCCGGGCACACCGGGACACACCTCCGGCCCCGGGACACCGGACACACCCGGGCACACCTCCGGCCCCGGGTCACCGGCGCCGGCTCCGCTTCCCGCGGCGCGCCGAGCACGTGGCCCCTCCCAAGCCGGTTCCGGTGCCGCTGCCGCTGCTTTCCGCGGCCGCCGCGGGCGGAGCTGCGCGGGGCCCGGCCGGACCAGCGGCGGTGCCGGTGACCCGGCTCTCCGGCCGCCGCTGCCGGTGGTCCCGGTGCCGCCCCCACCCGCGGCACAAAGTGGTC